ACAACACCAAGCATTGCCAAGTCTGAATTGATATGTGGGGTAAGAAAAGCCCAGCCTGCGGCGCGTGATCGTTTTGAAGCGTCTGCGCTGTGGATCATATAGGTGGTTTCCGCAAAGCCTGGTATTTGTGTCCAATCGTGCTGCTCATGTTGCTAGTACTTCTTTGGCCGTGGCCAAATGCCACCTGCAAGCCGGATCGTGGGAATCAGGCACAAAAGCATCAGCACGAATGCTATGCCAAGTCTGCCATGCTTATGGACTGACCATCTCTTGGTGCCACAATGCATCTACCTCAGCAGTTGGGTCAAAGCGACCTCACATTGACATGGACTTTGTTAAAAGTTGCGGACCTCTTGAATTGCTGGCGTTTGCTACAGACCAGCCTCATCACCACGGTATGTCCTCATCAAGTTGTGCTAAAGTGACACGAACTTGAAGTTGAGCGTTCTATGCCAGACGTCCTCAATCTCTGCAACAGGTCAAGAAGTCAAGCTACGCTGGATGATGCACAATGCAGGGGAGTCGCTGCTTGTTCAACCTGTGCATTTGGACCTGTAAAAGGCTTGCAGGCCCGCAATGAATGAACAACCGCCACGCTATCTTGCTATGAGTCGAAACTTCAAACACTGGCAAAGTCATATGGGCCCATATACTGTGTTGAGCTGTTGTCCTAATTGATGCCGCATGCTGACAAAAGAAGCCACTGTGTCTGAATGGGCAGTTGCTTTCTCACCCGTGTGGTCTTCCTGCATTGAGCATGCTATGTGTCGAAACCCGCAACCCTATCCAAAGTTTCGTTTCATCATCGCAAGAACAGCCCAACTCCCTTGACGCATCCTCCTTCAAGCTGAGAAGCCAAGCGCTGGCGCTCGCTTTAGGCCCTGGCTAGAAGCGCTGCTGGGCATAGGCTGCACCGGACTGGGCGCTGGCTCCTGGTGAAACCAGGTCGATTGGCTTGGTGAAGCGCTTCTTGGTTCTAAGTACTAATATCTCCATGCTGATATGGATGTTATTTTGCGCCAATCTCGCCGTCAGTTCAGGATGTGAATCGCTCTTCCCAACGTGCGTGTGCGTATTGCGGGTTTCATACTACACGAACTAGCAGTTAGCTGGCAGACCAGGTAGCAAGCTGTCCACAGCAATCGCACGACCTCCGGAATCTCCATGTTGGGATCCGGCCAGGTGAAACATTGTTTTCAGTTGGGAAACATGAAAAGGCTCTCTGACAAGCGCAAAGATGTTGTTTGTTTGTCATCGGGCTACATTCTTTTAGTATTCCAGGCTGTTCAACGGTTGTCTTGGTTTGCCCAAGGTGCCAGTTCGATAGATCAAAATCTGCTGCTCGGGTCCAACCAAGCACAGAAACATGTTTATTTGAAGCAGAAAAGTGCATTCGTTCGTTTCCCGGCTCCACAGCACACATGCCTGCACCTGCTGAGCTGGCCGCACTTGACTTGCTTGGCACATGGAACAAGAGTACTGCTCGTGGCTCTCGCACGTAGGGGATCTAAGGCATCCATCATAAGCCCCACTGTGTTTGAACCTCTGGAGTTGGTTGGTGCGGGCAAATGTTGAACCAACTTGTAGTCGGATGCTTGTCCCAAACTGGCAGTGGACAAGCATAGCCAGTCTCTGAAGCGGAAAGTCATCTCACCGGCCCAAGCCTGACTCCACTGGTTTGAGTTGGCAGTTACTTTTTATCCAAACTGGAGGGGATGCCCAGCTGTTGGGGCAACAGGAACCCAAGGAATCCCCTGGCCCGGGCGACATCTACCCTATTCCGCACAACGACTCGCAGGTTGGAACGAATTCGGAATTGCAGTCCTGCCTAAGAGCTACTGCAAGGAAAACATGTCTTTTGTGTCAACACTGACAAATATCCAACATCTCATTTGCATAAAATCCACTGAGAAATCATCGAACCCCAAAGACTCAAGTTCCCCCTGCTCGCTCCGTGTCCACGTCCCGGAACCACGGGCTCTCCTGGGCAAGCGGAAACATGCCAGTGCTCTGGGCGTGTGTCAAACCATCTCCGAATGCCTGGTTTTATGGCGGTGTCTTCTTAAATTCAACATGGCCCGAGCCTAGTTCGGACACAGAAAATTGGCCGTGGGTCAAAAATATGTACCCAAAATGGAACCCTGGTAAATGGAAACTTCAACTACAACCTGCGGTCCATATCCTGGTGGTTTAATTTTGACCCACACCCAATTGACCCCTCCACCCACCAGCCCGGACCCAGGCGTACGACTCACGCCCACACCAAATGGCTGTGGCTCAAAAGACCGGTACCAAAATGGAACCCTGGTAAGTGGAAACATGGACCAAAACCTGCGTAGCCCCTCCTGGTTCATTTTGAGCCACACCCAAATCAACATCTCTCGCTGAGGCCAGGGCTAAGCACTGCCTCGGCGTCCAGCGGAAGGCAGCATGGACGTTCCTGAGCCAACAGGCAGGAACCGAAGCCGCACTTCCATGTTGGTTGGGGGGGGGGTCCGGGTGTTAAAACTAAAAACTGCCTGTCCTCTTTTCATGTCCTTTGGATCAATTGAACACGCGCGAGTGATTTAGCAACCAAACAAGAAATCAGGAATCAACAACACATATTATCCTGCAAGCCCCCCTTCCCATGCAGCCTTGCCAAACGTAGCGTTGTAGGAACTGCCTGTCCACTTCTGTGCAGTACTGGCTAGCATCAAGACGGCCTTCCCAATGACTAATCCGTCACAAGGAGGGGGAAGGCTTCCTGGTATCACTGAAGTGGGAACAAACCAACAAACCCCTCATTCGTCGCAATACTACGCGGATGATTCGCAAAAGGCATCAAACAAAGAACAGGATTGATATGGGTGTGTTTCTTCATTGATGTGCAACAGTCAGCAAGGCACCACCCATTTTTGAGGGGACACGGACAGTATGCGCCCCATTTTGCGACATACCCATTCAGTGGCTTCAAACCGAGAGCAGACTAGCAGCCATGTCCTTGGACTCTAGGGCCGAAGTAAGTTGGGCGCTTCGTTGCTTACTTTCCCTGCGGTCCAGACCCAAGGAGTCCGATTTGGGGCAGGCAGCCCTCGGGACTGAGATCGAGCTTGCTCGTTCGCACACGAAGCAGAAGGAGCTTCGGGAAGCAAACGCGCTAGTTGATGGACCCATTCTTCTGACGTCAGATCGCATGCGCCCTGCGCGCGCGATTTTTCCTTTTGCAACAGGTAGCTGAAAGTGGTAAGGAGCGCGGGGGAAAGCTTCAGGCAAAGCATCTGAGCGCACCCAAAAACAGAAGCGCGCCCAAAACATCCTTTACCCCCTCCAACCCGTGGGTGCAGATCACTGCGTTTGCTTCACGAGAAAGACCGGAAAGCGGGGGGAGAATGTCACACAAGTCAATGGAGACTTGCGCCCTTTTTGGGGGGGCTAAATTGGAAGGAACAAAACACCGTGCGGTGGCCTTTTGGGAAGTCTCTTCAAATTCTTCTGCAATCTCAATGGATTTTTGGGCAGAACCACATTGCTTCTCTGGAAGCCGGGCGGGTGCTGTCCAACCCAAACCGCTTAGCTCCCGACAGCATTCCTGTTAGCAGCTCCGCCCTGAGAGGGGGGGGCTGGAGTCGTCTCAAACCAGCGGTGCATCTTTGAACGTGAAATTGTGACCGCCCATCGCAATTTCAAAAACTACCCCTTCCAGGAGTGCGAGAATCATGAATACAGCGAAACAAGGCTTGTTTTGGGGCTGTTCATGGATAAGCGTGGATCAGCTGAAGTAGCAGACTTCTTGGAGAATGCCATGGCTTACTTCCTTACCTCAGTTGTTCAGTGACCCTGGAAAAAAAGGCAACCCTTTTTAGGGAAGACAGTTTTAAGTGGGGCAGCCACCGAAAATAAGGGACAAATAATTGGTGCCACTGAACAACTGAGTTACACATTGCAAGTCGCTCAGCGTGAAGGAGAAGAAGGCCATCGTATCGCCAGGCCTTTTCGGAGCTTGGAGCTCACGTTGGACATGCCTGGACCTCCAAAAAACCAAACGTCCGTGAGCCCTGAACTCCCCCTCCAAGAATAACATTCACCAAACAAAGTCGGGAACAAACCAAACTCCTGTCCTCAAATTAGCGGACCGGCCACTTCTTGTGTGTGTGTGTGTGTTCGTGTCACAGGTCAGCACATGTATTCCGTGTTCATATTTTTGTTTTTATGGAAACCAGAAGGGAACCACCGACTTGGCAGGGTCCCTCGTATCACGGCATGGCATTGTCCCAACCTGCGCCGGGTCCCCGACGCATCTGGCGTCAAGGGCTTCTCCCATCTTTGGAGCAATGCCTGCGCCACAGGTCGCTTACTGTTTGAGGTGTTTCCCCGCAACCCCACAACGAAAGGCTTGTGGCTTGCCCTGGAAAGCTGGCTACAAAGAATTCTCCAAACTTGGGAGCCAGACATCTGGGTGTCTGGCCATGTATTGTTCTAAGATGAAACATCCAAGCCGTTCAGATTCAAGCACGCTGAATTCAGCGTTTGGAGACGTACCCACTTTCCTTTGACATCCTGCCTGGGACGAAGGACTTTTGAATGCGAAAGCGCAACAAATGGAGATGCGGTTGCAAGGGAAAGGGGGTGCAGTTCAAGCCCTGGCAAACGGAAGCCAGGAAACCGTCCAATGTCCCACCCGTTGTGATTTGATCAGTAACAAACGACTCGGAACACACCTTGTGAAGGGGTTGTTTTTTGAGTGAACCGATTTGGGGGTTCTTTGAAGGGCAACCAAAACGACCACCCATTTCGGCGCCCTCCATTGGAGACTATCCCACATAGTCATAAGGTTCATAAAGCCATATTTAAGCCCGTCAACATAACAATGGCGTGACTAGGGGTCGTCCATAGTCAAAGAAATTCAAAGAGAAAGAGTTAGAAGAGAGCGAGGGAGAGGGAGAAAGAGAGAGAGAGAGAGAGACAGAGTGAGACAAAGAGGAAAACCAAAGACAGAGAGAGGCAGAGAGAGAGACAGA